CCACCGAATCCGTACAGGGTTCGGCCTTGTCTCTTCAAGGCGTAGACGACATCCATGGCGGTGACGGTCTTTCTCTTGGCGTGCTCGGTGTATGTGACAGCATCACGGATGACATTTTCAAGAAATACTTTCAACACACCACGGGTCTCTTCGTAGATGAGACCAGAGATACGCCTGTCTCTTATACACATCTAGATGTGTATAAGAGACAGGTATAATACATACTGTACTCCAATTATCGAAATGCCCGCCATCGTGTCGGGATTGAATATTTCGACATTAATTATGTCATCATCAGCTAACTGTTCAGAAAGACACAACCTCAGTGAAAAATATAGGCCTATACATACGGTATTATATTATGCAAATGGCATGTTGATTTGAAATTGAGTGGGTACGATAGATTGGGTATGTACAGACTGTCAGATAATAAAAATGAAATGTACCACATGCAGTAAAAAAATGAGACAAGACAAACATTGTTTTCTTCTCTTTCGAACAAGTTGTGGCTCTGAAAAGAGCCTTTTGGTTTGAGATAACGAATGACACAGCTTATGCACGTTCACCACGGATACGGCGGGCCAGTTGGATGTCCTTTGGCATGATGGTGACACGTTTGGCGTGGATAGCGCACAAGTTGGTATCTTCGAAAAGACCGACCAAGTAAGCTTCGCTAGCCTCTTGAAGAGCCATGACGGCAGAACTTTGGAATCGGAGATCAGTTTTGAAGTCTTGGGCGATTTCGCGGACTAGACGTTGGAATGGGAGCTTGCGGATGAGAAGCTCGGTACTCTTCTGGTAACGACGAATCTCACGGAGAGCAACGGTTCCAGGCCTGTAACGATGAGGCTTCTTGACACCACCGGTGGCTGGAGCACTTTTACGTGCTGCCTTGGTGGCAAGTTGTTTTCGGGGAGCTTTTCCTCCGGTAGATTTACGGGCAGTTTGCTTAGTACGAGCCATTTTTAATTTCAATTTGAATTGATGTTTAGTTTCGAAAATGTCATATGCTTATATACTAAGCCAGTTTTAGAAAAACCAACATGATTGGTCAAATGGGTGCCTAAGAACACGTCCGTAAAGTATGGCGCGTTCTTTCCAAAAAGGCTTTATTGATTCAGAATAATATAGCCTTGTCAATTTGAAATGACCTTTATTCTAATTGTTCTTTGTTTAGAATTTCAAATATGGTGATATACATACAGTACTGTACTTATGTATGTAAGCTATATAGTATTTAAAGTACATGTACGTATAGTGTGTAAATGGATGGAATTAGTTGTATGGGGTTGTAGGATAATTGCTTTTGCTGGGTTATGCTTGTGTGGGCGTGTGTGATGTATAAGTATAGGAAGGTGTGTATATATGATATGTATATGCATATATGTATATATATATATATGCCTATATATATATATATATATATATATATATGTGTGTGTGTGTGTGTGTGTACATGTATAAGTTTTCAGTTTGGATGCAAATTGGTTGTTTTGTTTGCTTTATATTTTGTTTTATTCTGTTTACTTTCACTTTGGATGGGCGTTTCGAATTTGGCTTTTATTAAGTTAACCACTACTTTAAGTTTTATAGCTGTGTACTCTTTTATACATGCACTTTGGTTGATCATTTCTTTTTTTATGACTTATTAGTTAAGCATTTTTTAAAGTTCTACAATACAGGTAGTAATCTGTACGTTTTGTTTTAAGTCGCTGGAGGTATTTTTTTTTTTTTTTTTTTTTTTTAGGGCGGGGGAGGGGTTAAACGCACCTTCACATCAGTGTGCCACTTTTAAAAAATTGTAGCTTTCGAATAAATTAGCTATAATTATAAATTTAGCTATTGTATAGTGTTTTCAAGTACAGTTGTAAATTCCTGTTATAGAAGTAGGCCTAATATTTGGGTATCACGAAATTTTGGGTTATCAGTATCATTAAACTAGTTTAACACAATGAACTGAGTTTTTATTATTAAAACATTTGTATACGAAAATATAAACGGTAGTCTATTTTTCTATTATACTTATATTAATATTTCACAAATTAAAGCACAATACAATTCTGACTCATGGATTTAAAATAATTAAATTAGTTTTACAAAGTGAACTGAGTTTATACTAATAAAACAACATTTGATGTGAGAATATAACGATAGTTTATTTTTCTAATGTATACTTATATTATTATTTCAAAAATTAAAGTACTATCACGCCAAAATTGGTCCGGGGGACCGATTTTGGCCGCTAAAATTTGTCCGGAGGACCGATTTTGGTCGGCCAAAATCAGTCCTTTATTTAATAGGAAAGAGGTTCTTTGGGTTAATATAGAAGTGGGGGAACTGAAAAGGTCGACGTGCTAACTTCAATTTTACTGTCTTCCTAAAGAATGTCCAGATATATGTTCTGCTTTTTATTTTAATAATTGAATCTGAAAGAACACATTTGCAATGTATATCTTAGTTTCTTTTGGGATCTACAAGATTGGCCAGATAAAAATACAACAGAATGTACTTGCAGGCATGAGGGAATTTCTTAATGAATACTAACTTCAAAATGTATTTCTTTTTGTGGAGGATACAAACAAAATTCTAATTGCATGGGAAAACCCCTAGAAAAATAAATGCGCAGAATCGTAAATATTTGTGTTCCTACTATGAAGGCCTCAATTTTCTGCAAAAATATCCGTGGAAATCGGCTCATATTTTCAAATTGCGGCGACGGATTTCTGTGCCCATATTTTACGCTGGGAATATTTTACAGCTTCACACATCCTGATTGTATTTATTGCAAAATTAATGAAATTGCTTACCTCTCAACGAAAGAAAAGACAATTCCCTTCCTGAGAATCTCCGAGATGGCGAAATTTTTGAGACGTAAAAGGAAAAATACTGAAAAACAACAATGTTGTGGGAAACAATGGCTGGATCTCAGTAGAGATACAAAAATGATAAGCAACAGCTAAAAAGTAAACGTAAGTAAAGAGCCAGTAATAGAACCAGAGCTTTCGGACAACACTAGTCCTTCCTCAGTGGCGAGTGAGTGAGAATAGAAAAAGCTAGATGGTATAAAGTGAAAATTTCACGCAAGCATGATTGGAAACAATAGGCTGGGTGAGATTAGAATAAACAGCCTAAACAAGCAAACAGGAAGGCCAAAACTAAACTTTAGAGGCAAGCCTCAATGAATAAGCCAAATGATTTATCCAGAATAAATTGAAATGCCATTGGATTAATTTAGTGTACTGGGAGAACGTTCCTAATATTGAGTCCAAATGGTGTGGTTGTTTTAAGTAAAAGTTCCCAGTGATTCTCTTTATCTTTGCGATGTTTGTCGCTCCAACTGGCATTGTGGTCAATTGCAATCACTCTGAAATCTAAAATTGAATGACCAGCTAAATTGAAATGTTCGGCTACTGGTTGATCAAGCTTAGCATGTTCTGATAGCTGATGTATGTTGTGTCATTCTCATCCTTATATACACTATATATAAATATATATAAAAACATATACTGAAATACTATTAGGCTAGCACTCATTCTCTTTTGTTCAAATGGTGGCTCTGAAAAGAGCCGTTTGGGTTGATAGATGAACAGCTTATCCACCGAATCCGTACAGGGTTCGGCCTTGTCTCTTCAAAGCGTAGACGACATCCATGGCGGTGACGGTCTTTCTCTTGGCATGCTCGGTGTATGTGACAGCATCACGGATGACATTTTCAAGGAATACTTTCAATACACCACGGGTCTCTTCGTAGATGAGACCAGAGATACGCTTCACACCACCACGACGGGCAAGACGACGGATAGCTGGTTTGGTGATACCCTGGATATTATCACGCAACACCTTACGATGACGCTTAGCGCCTCCTTTTCCAAGTCCTTTTCCTCCTTTACCACGTCCAGACATAACGATTACTGTTAATATTCGAAGTTCGATCCGAAGTGTGATGTTGGCTAGAATTCGCTAAATAGATATAGTCTGAATACGGACGTAATATGAATTACCGAGTATTGTTCGCCAAGTCATACACTGACCTTGGGCTTTTGCATTGAATAGCGGGAGTTTTTAAAGAAGGTAGATTGCGCCAAATTCTAGACAGAGGTCTAATCAATTGCTTTTCTTTGTGTCCCTTGATATTTTTAAGCTACAGCTTCATGTTTAAATTATCTTGCTTTTCCTTTTTGGCGCGAATTTTCCACTGCGTAAAGTTTGTTGATTGATTCCTATTTGACGGTTTATAAACCATCACGAGATAGCACGGTACCTGTTCATGAAATTAGTAATATTTATTAAAATGTTGATTGCTATAAGTATATTAATCTATTGTTTTATAAACGCATATGAATATAATTCTCATCACCGCGATAACAGTTTCAATAAGTTGCACAATCATTTAAAAAAAACCCTTTGCCTTGAGCACTACTGCAGTATATTTGTGCGCTTCATAAATTTTATTAATATTATTGTTATTATTATTATTAAAACACAAATAACTTTTAGTTTTGGCTATTTAAAAAAAAAAGTTCTAGACCCAACATTGTTTATCAGACCCAAAATGTACTACAGTTAGCAGATAATAATTTTAGGCTATTTGTACTTAGACAATTTTGTGGTTGTGTGGACTTCCAATTTTACAACCATGAGTTTAAGGGTCAGATCTAGGGAACAAAAATATAATGCAGAAGTTAGAGAGTATGAATATAAACTCACATATAACCGTGGCTATACTACTTTTTGCGTAAGATAGCCCAAAACACCAAGGTAAATAGCATCCTTCTTCAAATGTTTATAGCACCCCACTAATGTCCTCCAAAACATATCAGATATAAGCTGATGTTAAAGTCATGCTGTATGAAGAGTCTAGTAATAAAATTAAACTTGCTTTTAACTGTATGCTTTGTGTCAAAACAGTCATAATATGAAATGGAAATTAATAAATCATGTAGACCCTAAGTCAAATTTATAAACGTGAAATGGAACACAATTTTACTGATTTGCATGCCTTAGATACTATTTAAGATATAAATCAGTAATTGGAGTTGTAGAATTAAGGAAAATCACTTTGGATGTGTGTATATGTATAGGCCTATACATTAGGAAAACGAAGCAAAGGAAATATTGGTATGCTACCAGATAATTTGGAATGTAAAGTACAGAAAAATACAAACCAAAAATAGTATTAGAATGCACTTAAAAGATGTGTAATATATATCTAATATATATTTAATTTAACGTAAAAAGCTATTGATCTCTTTTGTTCAAATAGTGGCTCTGAAAAGAGCCGTTTGGTTTGAGAAATACACCATCTACTTCTTAGGTTTCTTTGGAGACTTGGTAGACTTCTTGGCTTTTGGCTTCTTTGCCTTGACCTTTTTAGGAGACTTTGTCTTCTTTGGCTTGGCCGCTTTCTTTTCAGACTTTTTTGCCTTCTTTGGTGACTTAGAAGCCTTCTTCGCTGGCTTCTTAGCTTTCTTTGTAGCTGGTTTTTTAGCCTTCTTGGTCGTTTTCTTTGCTGCTTTCTTCTCTTTTTCTGCTGCTGCCTTCTTCTTAGCCTTTTCTTTCTTAGCCTTTGCAGCTGCATCTGCTTTAGCTGCAGCCTGGTTCAATTTGAACGATCCGCTAGCGCCTGTACCTTTAGGCTGGGCTAGTTTTCCGCTATCGACACCGCGTTTTAAAGCGATCTTAAGGTGGGTGTTCATGCTACCAGCATCAACCTTGTAGTTGGCTTGGATGTACTTGGCGATTGCCTGACGAGAAGAACCATTTCTTTCTTTTAAAGCACCGATGGCAGCAGTGATCATCTCAATGTAAGTTGGATGAGATGCTGGCTTTTTAGGAGCAGCCTTCTTAGCTTTGGCTTGTTCAGTCATTTTGTAAGGAACTGTTTACTAGCGACAACGAGTTTAGACGTTACTTGAACTGTAAATGCCGAAGGCGAACAAATCCGGTAATTTTATACGTTCAAAGCGGACCTGGCATGCAACACTTAATAGGATCGTTGTTGCATTGGCGCGTATTATCAAACTTCCATGCCAGGTGTATAGAAAATCATTATGATAGAAGAAAATCATTAGAGTTAACATTACAATATAGGTACTTTATATGAACTTTCATTACTTTAGTATAGGTTCCTTTTATTATGTATGTGTGTCTCAAGCCTGCTGCTTGTGTATATGTGTGTGTTTGTGAATGTTATGTATTTTATTTATTTATTTTTTCTTTGTTTTTGGTTTGTCTTTGGTTAATGTATTTCTTGTTTCAGAGTCTAGAAAAAATGTCAACAATGTAACGCTTATAGCGGTATGATCCTAATGAAATAGTGTTATAAGATGTCGGATTATTACGATATAAACACTTTGGTGTAAGTCTATGTGTTTTTCATGAAAAAAAGTGAACTAAATCACTATTCTGTAACAAAATGTGTGTCCCTTATCAAACCAGTTTTAGGGCATATAGGAAAAAGTTATTAGATTATCACTCTTTTAAAAAAAAAATGATGAGGGAAGGCGGTTTTTTCTTTGCTTTTTTTTTTAAATCGCAACAATAGATTATTTTGCTTTTGTTTTTATCGATGAGGGAGGGACTGTTTATATTTAGCTAGTAATAGTAATTATTGTATAAAAACTGGTTTAATTTTATAGTTTTTTAAAGAAAATGTATTTGAAGTCACAAAATTGCATTGTTATTTTTATGCTGTTGAAATAATTGATTAATTTTTTTAAATTTCCGTATTAATATTTCCCGAATTTTTGACGCAGGCGGGAGTGATAATCTAATAAATTTTTCTATTTGCCCTTATGTATCTTTGTAAACTTTGTGTTGTATATTTCCTTTCATTCATTGTCCACTGATGCAAAAAATGGTAGTTCCAAATGAATTATAATATCATGTCACTGTAATCAACGACAAAAGTACGTCTTGTAACAGTACATGATTAGGCTCCATAAAAAAAAATATTAGTTTATCACCCCTCCCTCATCACTTTTGAGGAAATTCTGATTTTTTTCTTTCAATCAACATACATTTTTATTTTGGACTGTCGTTTTTCCATCTTTTTTTACTTTAAAAGCTCATGATTTCTTGCAAATATGTTCACTGGTGCAACAAAAACATATATTTTAAATATAAATTCGATTCCATTCTTATGAATTTTTATATATGTGATTAACCATTGATTAACTTGTGAACATTGGTAAAATGAGGGCGAGGTTGGCAAAAAAAACCCCCAAAAATACCTCCCTCCCTCATCAGTTTTTATTCTTTGATAGGGTGATAAACTAATAATTGTTTTATGGGGCCTTACCATTATTTCGCTGAAACCCAGTTTCCATATGTTTATGTAGAGCAGAAGTGGGCATAAAAATTAGTCAGATGGCCAAAGTGAATTTCTTATTGAACACCGAGGGTCGAACCCAAACTTTGATGTTTCCAGCGAGCTTCCAAAATCCTCCAAGCACTGCTTTTACATTCTCAGTTTTATTACCATATACATATGACTGGTGTCGGGCCGTAAAAGACAAGGTTTTATAGCCAATTGATTAACGGACCGCAAACATAGGATTTTTAATTAATTGACGCGGTTTATATTTGATGTTATTGCTACATTAAAACGTATGTAATACAAAAAACTGAAATACCATTAGGCAACCACAAAAAAAAGGCGCAACCACAAAAAAGGCAAACAACCATTCTCTTTTGTGCAAATGTTGGCTCTGAAAAGAGCCGTTTGGTTTGAGGGAAGATGAGCAGTTTAACCACCGAATCCGTACAGGGTTCGGCCTTGTCTCTTTAAGGCGTAGACGACATCCATGGCGGTGACGGTCTTTCTCTTGGCGTGCTCGGTGTATGTGACAGCATCACGGATGACATTTTCAAGAAATACTTTCAACACACCACGGGTCTCTTCGTAGATGAGACCAGAGATACGCTTCACACCACCACGACGAGCAAGACGACGGATAGCCGGTTTGGTGATACCCTGGATGTTATCACGCAACACCTTACGATGACGCTTAGCGCCTCCTTTTCCAAGTCCCTTTCCTCCTTTACCACGTCCAGACATAATAATTGTTTTTAACTACTTGTTCGAAGGTAATTCGAAATGTGCTTGAAGTTTGCTGGTGTTACTTGACTTATGTAGTGTATGCGGACGTGGTATGATTACTAGCCATTAGTACGGACTTTGTAGCGGGAGTCTTGAAAGCAGTATTCAATTGTTGATTGCAAAAATTTATCAGCAAAATTTACTTGCCTTGGTTCTTTTTGAGAGGGAAAATTATTAATTGTCCTCACAAACTCTGAACTAATAAATGTAAAATGAATTGAACAATGTAAAATTTGGTTTAAAAATTTCCTACATGTATGCTGTCAACATTGAAATTGGTTTATATCGTATACAGTATTCTTCGGTTGAAGTAAGAAACCAATACTATTAGTTACCAAACATTGTGTTTGATATAATAGAAAAATAGGCCTATCTGTACAGGTAAACCCAACAAAGATTAAGGTTTTGCACCATGCGTGCCTTGATATCTCTTTGTTCCTTCCTGTCTTTCTATTAAATGCATTATTAATTTTGTTTTTAACACTTGTCTTAAAATATGAAAGTTTCCAAAGTTTGAAAATGTTAACTGCATAAATGTCAACAAAAAAAACAAAAAAACAAATGAAATATATATATATAGCATTTTGAATGTATATATGATTAGTATTATAAAATGTAATTTGAACTCCCTATAAGTCTGAAACCACATATCCATCCATACTCAACAATCAACAGATACTGTATACATTTTATGATACTAATATATACAATGAAAATGCTGTATACATTTTCTTGTTTTTTAAACAATGTTTAGTCTTCTAATGAGTATATGTAGTCGGAGTAGCTTCAACCTAGTCCTGATAAAAAGGTACACCTCCTCCATTAAACGACTTCTACAGATTGAATGCATGCACGAAACCATGTATCGTTTCGATATAATTGTGCTGGAATTATTTTTATTACAATAACAAAATAATATTGATACTGAGACTGTTTCAAAATAAAAAAAAAATAAATAAATAAAGCAAGAAGTGCATTCTATCTAGATTTGAAGCCCATTGGCTTCTATTAGTGATTGCCGATTTTCAAGAATACTTTTGCAAGCAGAGGGTGGTATGTTTTTTAGATGAGGGCTTATTCTCGAGATTAAGCCCATCCAATTACATTTTGTTGATGGATGTAATTTTCTGAAATAATGTTGAACGATGGGCTAATGGTTTATTTGTTTATATTTGTTTATATGTGAATTTGTTGAGAATATTCTAATCATAGAATGTCCTAATTGTGTTTTTATAAAGTTGATTTTATGGGGGACAAAGTACGAAATGGATGACGTTTATTGGGAAAACATTGTAGCAACGTTATGAAAACTCTAAACGTTAGGCTCGTGTTACAATGGCTTAATGAATAATCGGACTATCATACAAAGAAAGGAACACACACATGTACGCATTTTAACGGCCTTATTTCAAATCTCTTTTGTGTATTTGGTGGCTCTGAAAAGAGCCGTTTAGTTTGAGAAGATACAGTAGTTGATTAGATCTACTTGGTCTTGGCCTGGGTCTTCTTTGGCAGAAGTACAGCCTGGATGTTTGGCAGTACGCCTCCCTGTGCAATGGTCACACTTCCGAGAAGACGGTTTAACTCTTCATCGTTACGGATGGCAAGCTGAAGATGACGGGGGATGATTCTGCTCTTCTTGTTGTCACGGGCAGCGTTGCCAGCCAACTCCAAGATTTCAGCAGTCAAGTACTCGAGTACAGCAGCCATGTAGACTGGGGCACCAGCACCGACTCGAGATGCATAGTTACCCTTTCGCAAGAATCGGTGGACACGACCGACTGGGAACTGAAGTCCAGCACGGCTGGATCGGCTCTTAGCCTTTCCCTTAGCCTTTCCTCCTTTACCACGTCCAGACATTATTATATTTCGTTCTACGGTTATTTAAATCGAGAATGATACTTCTCCAACGAATAGTCACCTTTATATAGTCTGCTCAAGTGTTGTGTTTGACGTCTAGCGCTCATTGGATTAACCAATCAAAGAAAGTCCCGCTTGCCTGAGCTTCCTAGTGACCCAATCGTCTGCTATTAACCATTCCATTGTTCTATTTGGCGCGAATGTAAAGGATGTACTCCTAAATTTCAGGTACAGTATTATATCTGTCTCTTATACACATCTAGATGTGTATAAGATGATAAAGACTTATAGTCGAAAGTACTCGCTAACTCTGAAAATAAAATTTGTGGCATATATCTGATACCATCTGACTCGTTATTTACTGTATGTATATTTGCCTATACAGCATCACCTTTATTTGATATATGTGTATATATATACATATATGTGTATATATGTATATATATATATATACATATATACACATACATAGAAGTGTCCTGCATAAGTGACCAATACGGTATTTATTAATTTAATATATTGATAATTGTTTTATAGGTTTTAAGAGTATCTATATTGAAAGGTCTGTCACTACTGGAATGTTTTCTAAATAAATAAAAATTAGGGTTGAAATAGTATATATTTCTGCATTTTAAGACGTCCTTTTATGTTTTGTTGTATAAAATGAGACCCTTAATATTACCCCACAACTGTCGAAATAATCGTAATTTTGATTTTGTGATAGCCTTGTATGAGAGAGTAAGTTTGAATCTTTGATTTTCGTTTTATAGAAATAACAATTTTTATTATTTACCACTCTCTATACCACTGACGGTGTACGGTAAGAATGGCCCCGGAAAAAATTCCCCCGGTGAAAATTGCCCCAAATGACAGGTAGGTCAAAATGGCCCCAAAAACTGATTTTAAAAAAATCATTATATGCATTATTTTTAACTGAAATAATTTAGTTTTTAAAAGGAATCTAGCATCAAATAAATTGCCATTTACATTTCACTTTTTGCAGGAATTACATATTCAATGAAAAAATATTTAAAAATTAAAAAAAAGCCATGAATAACACTTTTAATTTGTTTTTTCATTTAAATGTTAAAATGTTAAGAGCTGCATCGGCAAACGTATATATAAATAAAAACTCGGTGTTTAGTATTGCCAAAAATAGTTTATTGAGTACACGAAAGTTTTCGGGCATCGCCCTTCATCAGGTATACGTACAGATACAAAATAGTTACCCTATATATCTTTTGTATTATTGCGATCCTATGTCTCTTCTATGTATATGGGTATGTGTATAATATGTATATGATACGTGATTTCCCTGTTCTTTGCAATTATTACTGTTAATGTATTTTTAATGTTTTGTATGTTTTATCTTCTTATTTGGAGGTTTTTACGATGAATAAACATATAAATAAATTGTTTCCCATGACGCAAAATGGAGCCAGGTAGCCTTTTAACACACATAAATGATGAATTTATGAACCTATTTGTTTGCCTGTCTCTTATACACATCTAGATGTGTATAAGAGACAGCTTCCAGTGACTGGAAGTGTTTCTATCATTTTCGCTGTAAACTGATGGGCAGACACTTTTTAAATACAATAATTTCTATTTTCAAGTTGATAACTTTTAAGTTACTTCAAAATAGGAGAGTCAATTTCAACAAAATATTTTTTATGATGTTTTTTTTTTTGGTATTTAACACGGGACAATACATCTTTAACTACATGCAGTTTATGTTTATAGAAAATTAATCATTGTGAAGATAGCAGAAGACTATAATCAAATTAGTATACTGAATACATATAGGCCTACTATTTACATGCATTGGTTTTATTATTCGGCCATACTGTACAGTATTACGTTTTTACTCACCTTGGAAATTTCATTGCCATGTACAACTAATTTTGGGCGTGTGCTAGCTATATTGTTGAATAAAACAATGTTAGGCGTTGCAAAATAGGAGCTAGAATAATAGGTTCTTTGATAAGGCCTGCTATACCGTTCATACAGCCCGCTTGGAATAATTATTTTCAATTCAATAAATCGCGCGTTTTTAATATCCAATAGAAAGCCTTGAGTAGTAGCCTAGGTAACGTGAAGTCCTACTTTGCATATCTCACTCTATAAATACCTGTCTCTTATACACATCTAGATGTGTATAAGAGACAGGNNNTGAGGGATGTTCATGATTTATTTTAGATCTAAGTTGTATTTTCTTTAGTTAAGTTCTTTCATTTGTTTAGCTTTAAGTTGTTGTTTTACTCTTTGTTCATAAGTTCTTTCATTTGTTTAGCTTTAAGTTGTTGTTTTTTACTATTTGTTCATTAGTTTAAGTTTGACTGCGCCACTTTCTTGTGTGCTGCCACTGATGTAAAAGTGTAATGTCAATAAATATTATTATTATTAAAGCAAGAAGTGCATTCTATCTAGATTTGAAGCCCATTGGCTTCTATTAGAGATTGCCGATTTTCAAGATACTTTTGCAAGCAGAGGGTGGTATGTTTTTTAGATGAGGGCTTATTCTCGAGATTAAGCCCATCCAATTACATTTTGTTGATGGATGTAATTTTCTGAAATAATGTTGAACGATGGGCTAATGGTTTATTTGTTTATATTTGTTTATATGTGAATTTGTTGAGAATATTCTAATCATAGAATGTCCTAATTGTGTTTTTATAAAGTTGATTTTATGGGGGACAAAGTACGAAATGGATGACGTTTGATGGGAAAACATTGTAGCAACGTTATGAAACTCTAAACGTTAGGCTCGTGTTATAATGGCTTAATGAATAATCGGACTATCATACAAAGAAAGGAACACACACATGTACGCATTTTAACGGCCTTATTTCAAATCTCTTTTGTGTATTTGTTGGCTCTGAAAAGAGCCGTTTAGTTTGAGAAGATACAGTAGTTGATTAGATCTACTTGGTCTTGGCCTGGGTCTTCTTTGGCAGAAGTACAGCCTGGATGTTTGGTAGTACACCTCCCTGTGCAATGGTCACACTTCCGAGAAGACGGTTCAACTCTTCATCGTTACGGATGGCAAGTTGAAGATGACGGGGGATGATTCTGCTTTTCTTGTTGTCACGGGCAGCGTTGCCAGCCAACTCCAAGATTTCAGCAGTCAAGTACTCGAGTACAGCAGCCATGTAGACTGGGGCACCAGCACCGACACGAGATGCATAGTTACCCTTTCGCAAGAATCGGTGGACACGACCGACTGGGAACTGAAGTCCAGCACGGCTGGATCGGCTCTTAGCCTTTCCCTTAGCCTTTCCTCCTTTACCACGTCCAGACATTATTGTATTTCGTTCTACGGTTATTTAAATCGAGAATGATACTTCTCCAACGAATAGTCACCTTTATATAGTCTGCTCAAGTGTTGTGTTTGACATCTAGCGCTCATTGGATTAACCAATCACAGACAGTCCCGCTTGCCTGAGCTTCCTAGTGACCCAATCGTCTGCTATTAACCATTCCATTGTTCTATTTGGCGCGAATGTAAAGGATGTACTCCTAAATTTCAGGTACAGTATTATATTATATAATTAATATGTACAGTAGCAACATTATATTAATAAGTACAGTAATTAAAATAGTCAATTAGGTTAAGAATACATTGGCTGGTATAAAATACATAAAAACTTGCTAAAATTAAGTAAAAATGTAAAGGATTGATGTGTATAAGAGACAGGTCCAGACATAATAATTGTTTTTAACTACTTGTTCGGCAAAGTCTGTCTCTTATACACATCTAGATGTGTATAAGAGACAGATATATACATATATACACATACATAGAAGTGTCCTGCATAAGTGACCAATACAGTATTTATTAATTTAATATATTGATAATTGTTTTATAGGTTTTAAGAGTATCTATATTGAAAGGTCTGTCACTACTGGACTGTTTTCTAAATAAATAAAAATTAGGGTTGAAATAGTATATTTTTCTGCATTTTAAGACGTCCTTTTATGTTTCGTTGTATAAAATGAGACCCTTAATATTACCCCACAACTGTCGAAATAATCCTAATTTTGATTTTGTGATAGCCTGGTATGAGAGAGTAAGTTTGAATCTTTGATTTTCGTTTTATAGAAATAACAATTTTTATTATTTACCACTTTCTTTACCACTGACGGTGTATGGTAAGAATGGCCCCGGTGAAAATTTCCCCAAATGACAGGTAGGTCAAAATGGCCCCAAAAACTGATTAAAAAAAAATCATTATATGCATTTTTTTAAACTGAAATAATTTAGTTTTTAAAAGGAATCTAGCATCAAATAAATTGCCATTTACATTTCACTTTTTGCAGGAATTACACATTCAATGAAAAAATATTTAAAAATAAAAAAAGCCATGAATAACACTTTTAATTTGAATGTTAAAATGTTAAGAGCTGCATTGGCAAACGTATATATATAAATAAAAACTCGGTGTTTAGTATTGCCAAAAATAGTTTATTGAGTACACGAAAGTTTTCGGACATCGCCCTTCATCAGGTATACGTACAGATACAAAGTATACAAAGTTACCCTATATATCTTTTGTATTATTGCGATCCTATGCCTCTTCTATGTATATGGGTATGTGAATAATATGTATATGTATTTGATACGTGATTTCCCTGTTCTTTGCAATTATTTCTGTTAATGTATTTTTAATGTGTTTTGTATGTTTTATCTTCTTATTTGGAGGTTTTTACGATGAATAAACATATAAATAAATTGTTTCCCATGACGCAAAATGGAGCCAGGTAGCCTTTTAACACACATAAATGATGAATTTATGAACCCATTTGTTTGTCATAATATGTTCAGAATACAATATTTAGACTAAATAAAAAACATGCACATATTATATACGTACATTGCACACAAATCTCTTTTGAACTTTTGGTGGCTCTGAAAAGAGCCGTTTGGTTTGAAATTGCGCCGTCATATTTACTTGGAGCTGGTGTATTTGGTGACAGCTTTGGTGCCTTCAGAGACGGCATGTTTAGCCAATTCACCGGGCAGCAAAAGACGAACAGCAGTTTGAACTTCTCTGCTGGTGATGGTGGATTTCTTGTTGTAGTGAGCAAGACGAGATGCTTCACCAGCAATACGTTCGAAGATATCGTTGACGAAGCTGTTCATGATTCCCATGGCTCTGCTGGAGATACCAGTGTCTGGGTGAACTTGCTTCAAGACTTTGTAGATGTAGATGCTGTAGCTCTCCCTTCGCTTTCGTTTTCTTTTCTTGTCGCCAGTTCTGACGGCTTTAGCCTTACCGGCCTTTTTGGCAGCTTTTCCTGAAGTTTTTGGTGGCATGATTTTCTTTGTAGTCGACGTACAGACAAATGACAACCCGGAAAGCCAGCACGTTATTTATAGAGTAGATATGCAAAGTAGGGCTTACCGCTATGCCGTTTTATCTCAAAGCGTCCTATTGGTTGTTGAAAGCGCGCGATTTATTGAATAGGTGACTATAAGTTTATGTGGCTTTTTAACCAATGTGGCTCCTGCCTAAAATGCGGGCAAAATGTTCCTAAAATCACACGCGCAATTGTACACGGACCAAGGGCGGATCCAGAGATGTCTAAAAAGGGGAGGGAGGCGAAAGTTGGTACGATCGAGACAATACTACCTTAGGGTGTCCGGGGAAATTCCCCCACGAAATGTTTGTGTTCTAGACGCCCGAAAATACCATTTGAGGCGTTCTGGGTTATCATTTTTTTTTAACCTCCTGGTGGTCGTATGTAGTTGGTACACTGGTATTTTTACCATTATATCTACCAAACTATTTAAAAGTATGTATTTAATAAGTGGCTACCAAATTAAACCAACCAGATTAGTAATATCTGTTCAGAACTTCCAGAGAGATACAACCTCAAACAACTACATCAATCAGATATTATAAACTCCTCTTTGCCCAAATAAGTCATTTTACATATTATTATATGCATTTTAGAGTGTAGTTATTAAGTTAATAGGTGAACCCAATACGACATTTACTTTGCAATATTCGAATATTATTTTTATTACCTTTTACTATACAGCATATGCAACTTTGAAACGCCTATGGTTTATCGTGGGCGAATGTCCCTGCCTAGTTCAATGGGGCCGCCCGAAGGACAACTAAACAGCTCTCTTCTAGTAGGGCCACGTCATTACGGTCGAGTAAAAACACCTAAAACTACCAAGTTAAAAAAAATGTAATCCCAGGATCACGATTGCTGTCTGTGTTTTGAGAATCTTGTGGGTGTCTATCTTGGGGAAGTGATAAAAAAAATAATACAATATTTGGCTCAGAGTGCGTCTTCCAAAAACCGAAAGGCCCACTGATTAATCTCAGATAAGATAGCATAATACATACTCCAATTATCGAAATGCACGCCATCGTGTCTGGATTCAATATTTCGACATTAATGATGTCATCATTAGCTAAGTGCCTACTAAATTAAACCAACCGGGTTAGTAATAACTGTTCAGAAAGATACATAACCTCAGACAACTACATTAATCTATAGGCCTATACATACAGTACTGTATTATGCAAATGACATGTTGATTTGAAATTGAGGGGGTACGATACTGTACTTTCCCCATTATACCACGGAGGAAATGATAATTATACAGAATATACAGTACTATGAACACGGTCACCAGTAATCACCATATGAGTAGGACCTAGTGTGTGAAAGCTCCTACCTGTGTCTTAACAGGTGAACAGTTAAACTACATTGTTCCCTGGTCTTAACCAACACCCCTATTGTGAAATTGATCATTCCTTTGTTAATGGTTCAGTATTTCTTCCTGACATCATTTCTGATTACCATAAAAGATTATACAGTATTGTCTTTTGAAAAGGATATCTGTTTACGCATTTATATATTTAAAAAAATACAAGCTTGCCAAATTGTTTGTCCTCGTCAGTGTACAGTATAATTCATTGAATGTTTCAAATGACAATGTAGATTTGAAATTAGGTATGTAGACTGTCAGATAATAAAAATGAAATGTACCACATGCAGTAAAAAAAAAATGAGACGACAAATATTGCTTTCTTCTCTTTCGAACAAGTTGTGGCTCTGAAAAGAGCCTTTTGGATTGAGATACTGTAACGGATGACACAGCTTATGCACGTTCACCACGGATACGACGGGCCAGTTGGATGTCCTTTGGCATGATGGTTACACGTTTGGCGTGAATAGCGCACAAGTTGGTATCTTCGAAAAGACCGACCAAGTAAGCTTCGCTAGCCTCTTGAAGAGCCATTACAGCAGAACTCTGGAATCGGAGATCGGTTTTGAAGTCTTGAGCGATTTCTCGGACTAAACGTTGGAATGGGAGCTTGCGGATGAGAAGCTCGGTGCTCTTCTGGTATCGACGGATCTCACGGAGAGCGACGGTTCCAGGCCTGTAACGATGAGGCTTCTTGACACCGCCGGTGGCTGGAGCACTTTTCCGTGCGGCCTTGGTGGCAAGTTGTTTTCGGGGAGCTTTTCCTCCGGTAGATTTACGGGCAGTCTGCTTAGTACGAGCCATTTCTATTTTTCAATCTGAATCAATGTCAAATTTCAAAATGTCGTGTGCTTATATAGTAAGCCGGTTTTAGAACAACCAACGTGATTGGTCAGTTGTGTGCCTAATAACACGTCCGTAAAGTATGGCGCGTTTTTTCCAAAAGGTTTTGTTGTTTCAAAACAATCATACATAGAGGAAATAGTTTCGATATAGCCTTGTCAGTTTTTTTAGAGTGTCCATTAATGTAATTGTTCTTTGCTTGGAATTTCAAATTTGATGATTTACATACTGTACTCCTATCTTAAAATATTTCGCTATAGTACCGCACTGTAAGTGTTTTAAGCACAACAGTAAATTCCTGATATAGAAGTACTCATTCTTTTCTGTTAGCATATGTATATTCAATTTGTAGTACTGTACTCATAGATAGGTATTACTAAATTATGAGTTTAATAAAAAGGATCACAGTTGCAGAACAGTAACCCATTTTTGCAGTATAAACTTACAATAGACCTTTCCGGAGTGTCAATCAAACTTAACAACTGACTAATCAGAACAGCGCTAGGAATACGCGCGCGACTCACAAACACACGTGTTGTCCCACAAACGCACGTGTTCGCGTATGTTTTAACACTGTCGTCTTGTGGGACCTTAGCAACAATATCCAAGGGGCGGGGCTTAGCGGAAAGGTCCATTACAACAAATACATTACCCACTGTCATGTAGATTGTATTGCTTAATCACTTAGAAATTACGCACAAAATAAGAACAAATTGAGTTAAAATTTAAAATGAGGTTTTTATTTAAAACAACCTTATTCGCAGTAGATGTGACTATATAACACCCTCTATACAGTACAGTGATATACTGATACACAATATTAATGTTTTGTGTTTAAAAAGTGTAAAATTAAGAACAGAATTAGAACATTTTGCTCATGATAATCGTCAAAAAATATGAACACTGCCTGGGCTAAATGTTACTGGTTCTTATAAAAAAAAAGTGTACACGATGAAATGTAGTGCTTATGATATTTGGGAATTACGAAATTAGTACGTGTGCACTGTAATTGGATTTGGCCGAAAGATTGGACAAAATGATTATAGTATGTTGGAATAAGTTGATTCGATTAGAAACGTAAAATCAATTGGTAATGTCTTGCATAAAAGATTTAAAAAATATTCCGCCATTTTGTAATTTCTATTTCAATTTCTATTTTTATATTCAATTATTTGAATGCACAATAAATATCAATATACAGTCAATCAATATGAATAAATAAATATACAGCATATATACAGTTAATAAGTCATTATATTGTGTGATACCATTAGGCAAGCAATCATTCTCTTTTGTTCAAATGGTGGCTCTGAAAAGAGCCGTTTGGTTTGAGGGAAGATGAATAGCTTATCCACCGAATCCGTACAGGGTTCGGCCTTGTCTCTTCAAGGCGTAGACAACATCCATGGCTGTGACGGTCTTTCTCTTCGCATGCTCGGTGTATGTGACAGCATCACGGATGACATTCTCTAGGAATACTTTCAATACACCACGGGTCTCTTCGTAAATGAGACCAGAGATACGCTTCACACCACCACGACGAGCAAGACGACGGATAGCTGGTTTGGTGATACCCTGGATGTTATCACGCAACACCTTACGATGACGCTTAGCGCCTCCTTTTCCAAGCCCTTTTCCTCCTTTACCACGTCCTGACATATTGATTATAACTGTTTGCTCGAAGGTAATTTCGAAATGTGCTAGAAGTTTGCTGGCGTTGCTTGATTTATTTAGTGTATGCGGACGTAATATGATTACTAGCGTTTGTACAAGTAAGTTCTCAATAAAAGATAGGTATATCTTCCTTTGTTCTCTCTCAGAGGGAAAATCACTATTGTTGTGTTAACAAATTCGATCATAGAACTATTAAATGTATAATTAATTAATTTGTTGCTGTCAACATTCATTTGGTTAATACCGTAATGCATAATGTTTTTGTCCTAATGTCATTTTAATAACTAAGAATTGATTTTATACATAACAAAAATAGGCAAACCTAACAAGGATTACGGTTTTGCTCCATGCGTGTCGTGAAACCCCTTTCTTCCAATCCTTCTGTTAAAAATTCAGTATTCAATTTGTTAACACTTGTCTTAAAGTATGAAAGTTGTTAAAGTTAATAAAAACAAAGTAATATACAGCATTTTGATTGTTTATTATTAGTATTATAAAATGTAGTTAAACTCTGAAAATAAATCTGAAACCACATATCCATCCATCAATAACATTGAAATTTCACATAACCGTTTCCTCCCAAAATTTTAATATTTAAAAAAAATATCCATGGATCCTAAAATACAATGAACGAGAGAGAGGTGGTCAAATGTAGTTGTAGATGGTCTTAGTATTTATAATTGCTGTATAACGATTTATTCAAAAGTTTGAATGTTAGTTTTTTGTTGTTTTTTTTTACAATCAATCACTCATATGATACAGACCTAAGGCTTACATAAAATACTAAAATACAGATGTATTATGTTTGCATAGTAAGGTATATGTATATATGTATAAATATATATATATATATTTAACTTCTATACTATATATATATATACCGTACTATATACGGTATATATATATATATACTATAAAGAAGAAAGAAAAACAGGAAACGGAGTAGACTTTAGAACACTATTTTATTACAACATGAATATTTCGACCTGACCTCAGGTCCT